TTTTTTTTTTTTTTTTTTTTTTTTTTTTTTTTTTTTTTTTTTTTTTTTTTATAAATAATGGACCCAACAGGTGGAAACTCTATCCTACACGTGCCCATCACATTATTAAATATATATTCCAATTTCAATTTACAATTCACGAATATATCATAAAATATTAATATTGATTGATATTTTTATAAATAAAAAATTATTTTAGATATTAATTAAGAAAATTTTATTTGGTAACCAGTTAATAACAATTATCTTTAATTGATATTTATAATAAAATAGTATAGATATTTGGTTGACTCTAAAATGGATGTACATATAATATATATAGAAATGTTGTTGGATTTTTTAATCTTTGATTTTGATATTAATATATATGATATTTTGTATTTAATAATCATTTAAAAATAATCTAAAATTTTTTGTATTTAGTAACTTTTTGAATTTGGATAGAAGTCAAATAAAATTTAAAAAAACAGAAAATTAGAAATGAAATATGATCATTATAGAGGCGGAAAAATCGGCTGTGGCACACCTGTAAATAGGGTGATATATATGGGCCTTTATTGGAAGTCAACGCTATATAAATTTGTTTTCTCCGACTTTGAATCCCATCGTCGATTCGATCTCACGGATCTTCTTCGATTTCCCTATTTCACATCATTTTTTCTTCACTCAATTCTCCTCCCTTTTCTTCTTCTTCTCAATCTCAATTCCTTTCTTTTCAATTTGGAACCAGTAGAATCTTTCTGATTCTCAGTTGAAAACCCTGCGCCCATCATTATTATTATCCACCTACCCGTCAGCCATGGAGGACAACCACGTTGCTTTCGATTCCACCGCTGCTAATGAAGATCACGACGCCCCCCTCTCCCACGCCCATGTTGACCATGGTTGGCAGAAGGTTACCTACGCCAAGCGCCAGAGGAAGACGTCCAAGCCCTCTGCCGATGCAGTTTCTGGAAAGATCGTGGCTAATGGTACCGTTCCCGCTGGGGACAACGTTTTCCGATCGCTGGAGCAGAAATCGCAGGAGCGCCGCCGTAGAATTGTCGAGGCGCAGAAGGCCGCGGCTATTGACGCCGATGAGGATGCTCCGGTTAGATCTAAGATCAGGTCTGACGATGAGGATGGCGATGATAGTGACAGAGAGGGTGTGGAGAATGAAAAGCCTAATGAGGAGGCCAAAAAGTTGAAGCAGAAGAAGCCGAAGAAGCCTAAGATTTCCGTTGCGGAGGCCGCTGCGAAGATTGATGTGAACGATCTGTTGGCGTTTTTGACCGATGTGTCGGTATGGTGAAATGATCTGCTCGATGATGCGTTCTTGGTTTTATCTGATCTATTTTGATCTGCTTGGTTGGAAAAGAATTTGCTCTCGGTTGGTTGTATTGACTCTTCTTCTTCTTCTTCTTCCATCTGTATGTTTGGTTATAGGGCTCGTACGACACTCAGCAGGATATTCAGCTGATGAGATTTGCGGATTATTTTGGTCGCGCATTCTCGGGCGTGAGCGCTTCTCAATTTCCGTGGGTGAAAATGTTGAGGGAGTCTTTGGTAGCTAAGATTGTTGATGTGAGTTTAGCAATCTTTGCTATGTTATATTTCTCTGCAATTCGCCGTGAAGTGGATGAATTCTCTTAGTTCCGTGCTGCGTATTTCTGATTGGTTGTACTTAACCCTCTAGGTCTCTTGTTCTGAAGGAGAATAATCTTTGGGCAAAATGTTTTTTTTTAATTATTATTTTTATAATTTTGTAGATGCATATTTGGTGTTATCATCGATTTTTCCGCTCTGATTGTCTGTAATAATTGTTCATGGGTTTCATTGGATCGGAGGGACTGAATTTTGGGATGAAAAAGCACCTTACTTTTCTGTATTGTCTTTGGTTTTTGGTGACATGAGTATATTCTTCTAAATTAGCTATTGGATATGTTTAATTTGCTCGAGCAGTAAAACGAGTTTTATAAGTTGCTTGTGCAGCATTAGTTAAATAGAAATACAAGCCAGTTTTGCCTAGTTATGAGCTTTCTTTCTTCATTTTTCCCAATTGCTCGACCTCAAGTACCTACATTCTCTTTTCTTGTGTTTTGACATAAAATGGATGGAACTTGTAAAAAATGACACTTTGTGACCTAATTGTTTCATCTACTCTTTTGCAGATCCCCCTCTCTCACATATCGGAGGATGTTTATAAGGCATCAGTTGACTGGCTGAATAAACGTTCTCTTGAGGCCCTCAACTCTTTCGTTTTATGGTCTTTAGACAGCATTCTTGCTGACTTTGTGGGCCAACAAGCTAGTGCCAAAGGCTCTAAAAAGGGTGTACAACATGCATCATCTAAATCTCAGGTATCATCAGTAGCACCACTGTTTTGTTCGTTCAAAGTTTATGTACATTGGGAGGGATAACGGTGCATTGTTTTGTTCATATTTGGGTTGACACAACCCACATGTAACACTGATAACGTGAGTTTTTCTGTTTAATATGACTCCCATCTCTAGTGCTTTTTTGTTAAGGTTTTGAGCGTTAACAACCTTTTAGGGTTCCATAGCTAAAATTAGGCGTTGGATCTAATAAATCTAGAAAAAGTCCAAATAAGTTTTTTTAATATTTTTTTTAATTCCTTTTGGAGCTTGTGAAGCAAAATTAACTCGTTCTAAATAATTCTTTAATTTTCTAGCAATTGAAGAACTCTAACTTAAACTCAAACGATCCCTTCATAGAATTAATCTTAAAATATAGCTGATTATATTCGATACAGGCTGACTTTAGAATCTAGTGATTTATAGTTGTCTAGTTAAGATGAAGGATAGCTATCAAGGTTGATGGAATATGAAATTTTTGTGCTGTTTTTCGAAGCACTGCAAAATAGAAATCAAGAAAAGAGAGATCCAAAGGAGGTAGAAGATAATATTAAAAATAATATTTTAAAGTAACGTCGAAGAACTCAATTTTCATTAACTAATGCTTAACCTTAACTAGTAATAACAATAATAATAATAAACTCAACTAGGAAAAGGACAAGTTTACCATAAGCAAGCAATCTATTTACTATTTGATTGGATGAAGGTGATGGATCATGATACATATCTCTTTTATCCATCTCTTATTTCTTGATATTTGTTTATAGTCTATGTTCTCCATTTTCTGGTCGCATTTATTTTACCATTTTCTGTGACTTGTCCTTTAACGTTTACTCTTCTGGAATACATGTTTGACCTTCATAAATTTGTAAATCAATGACTCTCTAGTTATTAATAACAATCAGCTGTACAGATGCCTATGGGTTTCTATTTATTTTTTACTATTACTTTTGTCTTTCTCTTTTTGCGGGTATGGGTGGAGTAAGAGGGTGCGTTCACACATTTTCTGCATGATTCAAGAGTTAACATGTTATTACATTGCAGGTTGCCATATTTGTAGTTCTTGCAATGGTATTGCGAAGAAAACCTGATGTCTTGATTCAAGTATTGCCAACCATAAGGGAAAACTCAAAGTATCAAGGACAGGATAAGCTTCCAGTACTTGTCTGGATGATAGTTCAGGTGAATTAATAATAATATGCAATTCATAATTTATTGATTCTTAGAGTTTTATTATTATGCTTCTTATACCGGATTTCCTTTTTCCTTTGCCAGGCTTGTCAAGCAGATCTTGCGATAGGGCTTTATGCTTGGGCACATAACCTCTTGCCCATAGTTAGTGCTAGAAGTTGTAATCCTCAGTCTAGAGATCTAATTCTGCAGTTAGTGGAAAGGTGGGAATAATGGATTATCTCCCAATTCATCTATCTTCCCTTTTGCTATAATAGCTCATCCTCCACGCTCCCTCCCCGACCAGTTTTTCTTTCCTAACCGTGGAAGATTATTTTGCTGCAGAATTTTGTCCTCTCCAAAAGCCCGTACTATTCTGGTAAATGGTGCTGTCAGGAAGGGGGAGCGATTGATTCCACCTTCTTCATTTGAAACACTTCTACGGGTTACTTTCCCTGCATCGTCAGCTAGAGTGAAGGTCAGTATACTTCAGGAAACTGTTGCTATTATCTAAGATATATGCTGAAAACACAATGTTGTGTGTTTTTATTGACATTGAACCATTTGCAGGCTACTGAAAGGTTCGAGGCTATCTATCCAACCTTGAAGGAGGTTGCGCTTGCTGGCGCTCCTGGCAGTAAAGCAATGAAACAAGTTTCACAGCAGATATTTATTTTTGCTGCTAAAGCAGCTGGAGAAAGTATGTTTTTCATTTTTCTTACCCTTTTTCATATGAAGGGAACTTGTTTGTTGTTCATGAACAGTAACTGAGAGAAGATCTATTAACAGGTGTTTCAGAGCTATCTAGTGAAGCTACTAATATTTTCATTTGGTGTTTGACCCAAAATGCTGATTGCTACAAGCAATGGGTGAGCTACCCGAGTTATTTTTCTATACGTATAATCAATTTTAATTCCGTTCTCGATCTGATTGAAGTCCGTCCTTCTGAATATGCAATTGTTTTTTTGCAGGACAAGATTTATGAGGATAATCTAGAAGCTAGTGTCTCCGTTTTGAAAAAACTTTCTGATGACTGGAAAGCGCATTCTTTAAAATTATCTCCTTTTGATGCTCTGAGGGAAACTTTAAAAAGTTTCAGAACCAAGGTAGTTTCTATATTCTTGTGCAAAACCCAGCTCATACTTTGGAAGAATTGAACTGGTTGTTGACCATTCTTATTACATTTTTTATACATACGATTTTACATTGATAGAACGAGGAGGCATTGACTAGTGATGAAGTGGGTGCTTGCCAATCCAAATACAAGGAAGCAGATAAGTATGCCAAGTCGATACTGAACAGGGTTTCGCGAGGCCATGGATGTCTGAAAAGTATGGCTCTTATAGTCATCGCTCTAGGTGTTGGTGCTGCAGTCATGTCCCCGAACATAGAGTCCTTGGATTGGGAGAAACTCACTGCTTTCATCCCACAACACTCTTTCTGAGTCGGCATTCCTGCATTGTCGGCTAAGGTTTCAAATTCCGACCTTGTTCGCCTCTGATGAAGCAGCAGTTGACAATGTCGTGAAGCCAACCTTGGCTCCTCTGTGGGCAGGGAAACCAAAACCCTGTCGGTAACGAAATCGCACAACTAGTTGGTCAGTCGTTTTAGATCCTTTTTGTGTTCCTCGTGGGGGGATACTAGAGTAGTGGAAGTAGTAAGGCTTTTTAAGTTAACACTGCATTAAAAGACTGGATAGCCATTAAAAGACTGGATAGCCATTTTAGCATCTTTTAATTTGGTTTTTCTCATTTGTTAGTTTTGTTTTAAGTTATTTGCCCACTCTAACCTTCACAGGCTCGGCAGTAGATCAAAAAGGGAGTTTGGATACACATGTAGTTGATAATGTTTTCATTTATATCATTTTGGTATAAAAACACAGTTAATCAATGTTTCAATCTCTACCCTGTAATTGCTATTGCTTAGTATATATTCAAACCACTTACGTTTAAGAAAAAAAAAAAAAAAAAAAAAAAAAGTGTTTGGGAACAAATATTATACGACCGAATAATATACCAATAAAGAACAAGAACACTTAGAAGTTAAACAACTAAAATAAATATTTTTAAAGTCCAAAATAAAAATTATTGTTTTTTTAAAAGTTCAATTATTGAAAAGGTTGAGGTGGTTGCTAAGCAAGCTAGCCGATAAACCCATATATTAAAAGAATACACATTTTTAATGTTGGAGGGTAAAAGATAACATTTACATTACAAATTATTAGATTAAAATTTTATTTTATTTAGTTTTAATGATAATTAAGGTCGGAGATATATGATGAGTTTATGGGATGGAAGTATTAATATAAAATAGTGTTTTTCAAAATAACATTTTTTTTCTTTAATTATCCGTTCATAGAAAGACGGTTGATTTAATATTGATAGTTGAGAAAGAGCAAGAGAGTCAAAAGTCGACCATTTTTAATATAAACATATGAATACCCATCAAACTAATTATCATTATATATATAAAACAGAATAAAATAAAATAGAAAATTAATGACGGTGACACGTATGATATACCAAACCATGGGGCCAGAAAAACTGGAATTCGTTTTCTCCGAAATCAGAGCAAAATTCAGAAAAGAAAAAAAAAAAGTAGAAGAGTAAGGGCCATTATTCGATCCTTCCTCTCCGCACAATAATTCCTCTTGTTCTTCGTTGGATCATAGAGTCGGAATCACAGAGTAATCAGAGAATTCAGGCCATCTCAACACGTAACCCTGCTAATTTTTAGAGACTGTGCTTCAAGAATATGGCTACGCTTCAGACGTGGAGGAAAGCCTATGGCGCTCTCAAGGATTCTACCAAAGTCGGCCTTGCCCATGTCAACAGCGATTACGCGGTATTCTCTCATTTTTCTTTTCTAGATTCTCTCCTCTCTTTTTCTTCTTTGTTTTCGATTTTGTCGATCGGTGTTTGATCCGATTTCTGCGTTTTTGCCTCATCTTATTCTGCGGGATTCTTGTCTGAGTTTAGGATTTGGATGTGGCAATAGTCAAAGCTACTAACCACGTCGAGTGCCCGCCGAAAGAGAGACATCTCAGGAGTGAGTTATTGCTGTTGCTAGATCCGTTTTATTGCTCTGATTCCAAATCTACTGTTTTAGTCTGATTTTCTGTTTGTGTTTTCAGAAATCTTGATTGCTACATCTGCAATTAGACCTCGCGCTGATGTTGCTTATTGCATTCATGCCCTCGCTCGACGCTTGTCCAAGACGCGCAATTGGACGGTACCAATTTTATTCCTCTTGCTTGAATTTCTCTGTGGAATTTGTTATTCTTTCTGGCATTAGCCTCTTTTTATCTGGATGATAACTGTCGTCTAAGAAACATGTGCGGTTTCGTTAGCTATCCTCTCTTTTGAATGGTTATGTTCCTGACGTAACTGGTTTTTCTTTAGTGCTCGTAATTATCTGCTTTGGATTTGGTACTTTCATTATCTGCGTTGTGTTTAAGTTTGATACTCCACGATTGAAAACTGCGATATGTAATTTGATTTTTCTGATTCTTAATATTACCATTTGGAAGGAAATGCGCATTTCTGTAATTTCTGGTGAATTTATATTTCTCCTGCTATGATAAATACAGAACCATTTGGGTCTAACCCTTTATTAGTTGAAGTTTTTGTTTCTAATTTCTAGGGTCTCATCTATTTATGATAATGAAGTATGATCTGTGTGGCCTGAAGATTGAAATATTTCCTGATTCCCAAAACGAAATGTCTGTATCTCATTGTCATTTTGACAAATATGATATTGAATAATCCATGATTATCAGTGGAATGAATGTCACAATATAATGCTCATCAGCTGACTCATTGTTTACTGTTTCTTTTGACTTCATTTCATTTTGCATCCACTATATATGTTTCTTCATGTTTTACAGGTAGCTTTGAAAACATTAATCGTCATACATAGGACCTTGAGGGAGGGCGATCCAACATTTAGGGAAGAGCTTTTGAATTTTACACAAAGAGCCCGAATTATTCAACTGTCTAATTTTAAGGATGATTCAAGTCCTATCGGTAAAATTCTTTAGATCCTCTTCTCTTATTTTTCTGTGATTCATACAAATGATACACTAATAGTGTAATCAATAATAATAGATGACTGATACGTATATCCTTTTAATAGCTTGGGATTGCTCTGCATGGGTACGCACATATGCATTGTTTTTAGAGGAGCGACTCGAATGTTTCAGGATACTAAAGTATGACATTGAATCCGAACGCCTGCCAAGACCTGCCCAAGGTCAGGAGAAGGTATTGTATTGAAGAATTTTATTAATTCACCTGGCCTCCTTGCATGGTACATGTATGAGTGAGTTATAACATCTTTTTTAGGTTTATAATATGGAAGATGCATGCCCTTTTTGGCTATCGGTAATAATAATGTGATTATAGTTTTCTTATTATAAACATCCCAATTAACCGTAGAGATTTTTTTTTTTTCTTTTTGTAAATTATGGATATGGTTGCCTCTACTGAGGTGGAAGCTTATTCAGTTGACTGGGGGTGAATTTTATTAGCCTAATGACAATTTTTCATGATCTCTGGATGGTCAAGGGGACCTTAGTCAGGATACTGATTAGGGTAAGCTCCATTTATAGCCTTGGCAAATTGAATGTCTGTGTTAGGTTGACTCCAAACGTCAAACAAAGGAGGAATGCTTTAAGAATGGAAAAGGGCAAGGAGTAGAGTACTGAAATGCCTATTTTCACCCAAGTTATGAGAGTTCCAAATCCAATGGTTGAATCCTAATTTCTAGGTTATTATTGGTTAAATGCTGGCTCAACTCTTCCTGAAATGACACTCAGGTTTTACAACCTGCATTTTATACGATCCTTTGGATGGACTCTTTAAGAGAAATGAAGGCTTTTCTATGAACTTTCTATTTAGTATCAATACAAATTAAATTTGGTAAAGAATTCTTCCTTTTCCCTTAATCCTCAATCTCAATGGCATTGGTTTTGTCTCTATAATATGGTTTGGACGAGAAGAATAATATAGTTTCATTTGTATTAAAACAAACCAAAGAAATACATGGAAGAGTCAGCAATTTGGACTGTGTTTCGAGATATTCTTCTTTGGTGTTGACACTGCAATGATTCATTCGGTGTAAATGTCAGGCTGATGACCTTCTTCACGTATTATTGGGTTGTCGGTTTGTTCAGTACCCTTGGGCTAGGTGGTTGTCCACCTTTGGTCTAACTTTGCCTTTTCGTTAAGAGTTGCATTATTTTATGGCAGGCCAATTTCTTTGCTATTTTGTGGGGTTTGGATTGAAAGAAATAATCAAACTTTTAGAGATTTGGAGCAGTCTTGTGATGAGGTCTGAACGGTGGTTAGGTTTAATGTCTCTACCACTAGACCTTTTTGTAATTATGGTCTTGACTTGATATATATAAATATATTTTAATTTTAGTCCATTTATATAGTTTTTAGGAAGTTCGTTTTGCTTTTTTTTTGTTGCCCAATTATACCGTCATTTTTCATTTTTCTCAACAAAAGTTTGATTTCTTAACCCCCAAAAAAAAAAAAAAAAAAAAAAAAAAAAAAAAAAAAAAAAAAAAAAAAAAAAAAAAAAAAAGAAAAGAAAAGAAAAAAAGAGATGTAGTAGCAANACTAGTTGAACATATTGGATATGAGTTTGATAGTTATAGGGCACATTTGGAACATTTATTAAACATAATAAACATGTGTCATTATACATACAAAGATATGCATTTTGGAGTGGCTAAGGAGTGTCCTTAGTTCATAGATTCTTGAAATTCATTAGCCATGGTTTCTTTTGTTGGCAGGGCTACAGCAGAACCAGGGAACTGGACAGTGAAGAACTGTTGGAACATTTGCCTGCCTTGCAACAGCTGTTGTATCGTCTTATTGGCTGCAGGGTATCTTTTTGACACCTGTGAACCTCCAACTTTCATTTGATAATTAAATAAAATTTTTCAGAATATGGATTTTTTTTAAGAACTCTTTACTTTGACCTTCTAAGTACGAAAATTACCTGATGTTGAAATTACAGCCTGAAGGAGCAGCTATTGGGAATTATGTTATACAGTATGCCCTGGCACTGGTATGCTGAATTTCTTCTACTTATATCTCAGTTCCAGGATAATTTTTATTGTAGCAGAGAATATTATTAATGTTAATGTTTTCTCTATTATTATTATAGTTGTTATCATTATTTTTCATCTTTTGTGGGCCATATCCTCTTTTTTTTAGCTTCTTAGGTAGGCTTAGTATAGGTAATTAGACTTCCTTTCCTTTACCTGTCCACTTAACGTTCAATGGATAAGAAAAAATGCAAGGTCGTAATGGATTGAAATTTAAGAGTTATTAAGAAAGATACATGCCTCCCCTCATCCTACTTAACGTTCAATGAACAGCTTTACTATGTTGGGGTAGGGGGTGTCTTATTCACATGGTGAAATTCAAAAAAAAAAAAAAAAAAAAAAAAAAAAAAAAAAAAAAAAAAAAAAAATT